ACTATGAAACGTCTTACACGTCTACCCCTTGCGATGTTAAATTTAGTGGAATATTCTCCAGTTTGTACCAATTTTATTCCATTCGAGGTCCACATTTTGAAACAAGATGATCAAAAGATGTGTCTCGCAGATTGTAAATATCAGATTGTGTTGCATCAGAAACAGTATTTTAGCACAAAATGAGTACAACTAGAGAACACTACACGGAATCTTGAAGATTGATGGTGTAGAATCGACACCCTCAAAACTTCACTCCAAACTCTGCTAAGTTTAGACAGTTGGAAAGTGCACCCTAGAGATTATGTTTAATTAAACACCATTAGGATGGACGTGTAAGAAGAATCATAGTTGAGGAGGATGATTGTAATTACTCATACATACGAAATTTTTTATGAAATTTTTTATGACCATACCTCAAGGGATGACCATAATTTACCCATTAATTCTATCATCATTTAATTAGAGCTAATTGCACAGACCCCCCTGTGTAATCTTGAATGTCTAAAAAAACCCTTATGTTCAAAAAATTAGCACAAACTTCCCTATGTTGTTTTATATGAAGCACACTGCCACTTTCGTTAAAATTAGCTGTTGACTTTTATACAATGACTAATTTTCCCTTACAAAAGAAACATGAAACTGTAAAAGAAAAAAAAGACACAAAAGAAATTAGAACAAAACCCAAAACCATCTTCTCCAACACAGGAAAATCTTATTAAAAAAACTCTTACAAAAAAACAGTGTGAAAAAAGAATGAGCTTTGTTTTTTTCCCTTTTTGAGTAATCATTCCTCACAACTCGCCAGAGTCAAAGTGATACTGTTCAATTTGTCCGAAAAGTGATTTCCTGCGTCGAATCTACATCGAACCAGACCCCACTTTTAGAAATCGCCGACCATCGATTTGGCCGGAAAATGTTTGCCCCCTAGAATCTACCTTTAAACAGGCCCCCACCCTTATTTCTCGTCGAAATAACTCCCCGTATTCGAAACCGGTCCTTCTCGCCGGAAAAATGTTGTTGAAGGACGCATGTGCTGAAAATCCTCCATTACCGATGAACGGCGGAGGAGGAGGAAATTCGGGGAAGAACACGAGATTTTTTTTTTTTTTTTCTTTGTTCTTTAAAATATATATTATTTCTGTTTGCTTAAAAAATCTTGAAAATTATAATTCGATCCAAAGGTTTGTATTATTTGCATTTAAACCCAATTGGATTTATGCTATTTATAAAAGAATTTAAGAGGGCATCTTTGACTTTTCACATATAAAAATACATCCTCAGTTGCTTAAGCCGCACGTACAACACACGACATGCTATCAGGGGCTTTTTCGCCTTTGACTAATTTTCATCAGGGGGTTCCTGCTAATTTTTTTAACATGAGGAGTTTTTCGACAATTCGAAATTACAGAGGGGTGGTCCTTGCAAAAAACCCCATTTAATTATGTCAATGAAATGGTACTATTTTTATACTCCTACTCGTTCCATTATATATTTCTGGTTTAAACTTTCTTCACATGTATGTATTATAAAAATATTAAATGATATAATAAAAAAATAAAAATAACCTTTACCCAATCTCACGCAAAATCCAATTGGTGATATTGAAACATCGGATTATTGGGAATATCTCCGGGTCAAATCTCCAAAACCTCTCATTTGGAACAAATACTCAGTATATATAATGTATGTATTATGATAATAGACTAAAAATTTTGTTTTTATAGATCTAAATCGATCTTTTGTCAAAAAGTTTATTAATCGTGAAAATATTCAAATTAGTATTTCAATGCCTTTAATATGTATTTGTTAGCCTGAGTTTGACATCAATTGTCCACGTGGTGGAGGCCCGGGTATGGGCGGCCCACAATCGAATGCCGTGGGCGCTTGTGTGTGTTGAATGCACTATAAGGCTAGGGTTTGCGCCTTTTCTAGCACCAATTGGTTTTAGGACAACTGGTAGCACCTGAGGTCCTACAGTATTGATTGTTTTCTATTTATTAAATCCATAAGTCTTATATTCTAATAGTATTCGAGATGGTGTGGTTAATCTGATAAGTATACGGTAGATCATTTCGAAAGTTCATTTAAAATATAAAAGATTAATAGATCACAATTTAGATGGAATTGAATTAACCATCGAGTAGCAAATTAGCCTGCAACACTAAGTTATTAGACCCAGCCTCGACAATGAATTATAATTCTAATCAACACAATTAAATGAGGATATATTTATGAGAATCAAATGATACATACATGTTTCGATAAAGGCTACCCGAATAATCTAATGTGTGTTTCTCCATCCTCATGGACCCAAATTTCCTTGGCCCGAATGGTCACACATAATGTCCAAATCTACAAAACATTTCACAAAAGGGTAATTAAATTACAACTCAACCCCCTCAAGTTTGGAAAAGTATATTTTTCTCTCTTGAGATTTTATTCCAATCAGCTATATATTCCCCCATTTGACTAACCCAAAAAGGATGATTTCAATGAAAAATGGGTAGTAATTCCTATTTTACCCTTAAACAACTATTTGTATATTTGTATTGTCATTTTTATCCTTCCAGATTTCATTTAAATCAAAAGTAAGTGTTTTATGAGAAAGCGTCGGGACAAATGGTTCATTTCCAAAAATCGAGCATTGTATTTAGCAAATCGTCTAAGAGTGAATTGATTGAGGGTAAAGGTGTCATTCCGATGGAAATTGTGGAGAAGCACGATAAGTACTTAGGTTTACCTGCTGCTATCGGTAAATCAAAGAGGACCATATTTTCCAATATAAAAGATAGAGTGTGCAAGAGGCTTGAGGGATTGGAACGAGAAATGGTTATCCAAGGGGGAAGGAATTTTTGATTAAGGCGGTGCTACAAGCTATTCCGGCCTATGCTATGAGTTGTTTCAAATTGCCATCCTACTTTTCTAAGGATATTGAACAATTGATGAATAAATTTTGGTGGGAGAATAGCAAAGGGCATGGAATTCATTGGTCTAAGTACGGAGCAAGTTGTGTAAAAGCAAGCAATCACGAGGGCTTGCAATGGGGATACACAAGTTTGGCACTATGATCATAGTGGACGGTTTACAGTTCGCAATGCTTACCACCTCGCCTTTCGGCTGGAAAATGAAAGAGCGAATCATGCGACGAGTAGCTCCTCTGGTGCTTTACTTAATACATGGAAATGGGTGTGGTCTATGAGTCTCCCAAATAAAATTAAAATTTTTGTTTGGCGAGCTTGTAATAACTTGTTGCCGACTAGAACTAATTTACGGCGACGTCAAGTAACATCAGAGTCTTGTTGTGGAATATGTGGAGCTGATGATGAAGATTTGCAGCATTTATTTTGTGTTATGCTCATTTGTGAGGCAAGTTTGGGCTTTGAGTTATATTCCTTGGAGCGTGTATCAGTGGCATGGGAACGATATGGTGGACTAGTTTTCTAACACGAGAAAATTGACGGATACCGGAGGTTTTGAGATGTGTGTGACTATTTGTTGGGCTTTTCAGTTCTATCGCAACCGCTTTTTGTTTGAAGACGAAGAGGTGGATTCTCTTATGGCTGTCTCACTCGCGCAAAAAAATTATGAATCAACTTCGACAACCCTCAGCTCGAGTTTTGTCAAATAATGATCTGAGAGTAACGTCCGATAGTCAATGGTTGCTACCTAGTACGGGTGTCATTAAAATTGATAGTGATGTAGCCGTTAATGCCAATGATGGATTAGTTGGTGTGGAGATCATTGCTCGAGACCATTGTGGTGATTGTGTGGGTTGGATGTCGATTTGCATTCATCAGCCTCTAGATCCTATTTCAGCAGAAGCAAAATCAGCGCGCTTTGCTTGCGGTGGAATTTGCTCGGGACAAGGCCTGGCGGAAAGTGGTTATTGAAGGCGATTCTACGGTGGTCATCAAGGTGATTGAAGGCGAGGATGAGGATCGATCGACGTATGGAAATCTTATTGCGGATATTCATGCTATTACACCATGTTTCGAGGTTTTTTCTGCTCTTCATATACGTCGGAATTGGAATGGTGCTGCTCATGCTTTAGCTCAATTGTCTTTTAAAGATCTGTCTCTTTCCAATTTTTTGCCACTGGATATTCAAAACATTGTAATAGTTGAATCAATTCTATGATATGAAATTTTCCTTTTCTCAAAAAAAAGAAAGTACTTTTGTTGGAAAAATAAAACCTCAAACCAACCGAAATTTAAATTCTATGATTTGAGCGCAGAGGAATAACAATTCTCAACCTAGAAAAATAATAGTTTTTATACTTCTTTTGAATCATAAAAAAATATTTTGGTGCAAATATTATTGTTATTAATTGCTGCATTTGGGTTGTGTTTGTGGATGGAACCAAACATCAAGAAGTATCACTAGGCCAAAATGCAAGACCGGCGACGTTTTTCTTCGCGACGGTTATGTTTTCGTCGCCGGGTTGCGACGTTTCAAAGCTTAAATCGTCGCTTAAAGTAGAAAATCCAGGTTTAGTTCAAAACCCTAGAGACGATTCTGCGTAAGCGTCGCTAGTTCGCGACGAAACAGGTATTAACGTCGCAAATGCGAAAAAAAATTTAAAAATACCTATTTGGGCAACGAAAATCAGTTTTCGTCGCATATTTACATATTTTTTGATTTTATATTTCAAATTTCGCGACGTAACACTAGGAATCGTCGCAACTATTATTTTCAAAAAGAAAAAATAATATACTTTGCGACGTTTGCTAGGAAACGTCGCTAGTAGTGCCCAATTATTTATTATTAATTTTAAATATGGCGATGGAAGGACGTAAAACGTCGCTACAGTTTTAGTATTTTTTTTTTATCTCTATGCGACGGATTCAAGAAAGCGTCGCAAGAAATGTTTTCACATTTTTTTTTCGAATATATTAGCGACGTAAGTTTGTTATTCGTCGCGAGGTCTTGAATATGTTGGCGACGAAAACGGGAAACGTCGCAAAGGTTGACTTATTATTTCAACGAGACCCTAATTCGATCTATTTCCTCCTCTCTCTCTCAAACTTTCTCCCCCTCTCTCTTTCCTCCGATCTGCCACCGCCGCCCGCCGCCTGCTGCCCGCGGTACGCCGTCGTTCCGCCGCCCGCTGCCCGCCGCCTGCTTCCCCCTAATTCGCCCCCAATCTCTCTTTCCTCCGATCTGCCGTCGCCAGCCGTTGCCGTCGCCGACAGCCGCCCGCCGCCGCCGCCTGCTGCTTGCGGTTCGCCGTCATCCCGCCGCCTGCTGCCCCCTAATTCGCCCCCAATCTCCGCTGCCGATCCGTTGCCGTCGCCAGCCGTTGCCGTCGCCGACAGCCGTCCGCCGCCAGCCCTCCTCCGTTGCCGCCAGCCGTCCGCCGTTGCCGACAGCCCTCCGTCGTTGCCGACAGCCCTCCACCGCCAGCCGTTACCGTCTGCCGCCATTCCTCCTCTCTCAAGGTAATTTTCTGTTTTTTTAAATCTTTGTTTGTTTATGTTGAAAATTTTGTATGTTTTTGATTATTGCGAACTATTTTTGGGTTTTTTCTCGGAATTATGTGTTTGTTTGTTTTATGTTGATTTGATGAGCCTGTGTTGCTCGGAATAATTCGGAATTATTGTTGCTCGGAATTATGCGAACTGTTCTTGGGTTTTATGTTGCTCGGAATTATGTGTTTGCTCGGAATTATGTTGCTCGGAATTATGTGTTTGTGAGTCTGTTGTGTATGTGTGTTTTGGTGAGTCTGTTGTGTGTATGTTTCTTTCTGCAATTTGGCTACTTTGCTACTGTGTCGGCGATCAATTTTTCCTTTTTTTTTTTTCTTTTCTTTTCTTTGTTTTTTTTTTTTTGGGAAAATTCCGAAAAAATTCCGAAAAATTTCCTAAAATTTCCGAAAAAATTCCTAAAATTTCCGAAAAAATTCCGAAAATTCCAAAAATGAAGATTTCCGAAAAATTCCGATTTTCCGAAAATTCCAAAAAAATCGGAATCGGAATCAATATTTGAATTCCGAAAAAATCAGAATCGGAATTGGAAGGCGTTTTGGACTTCCGAAAAAAATCGAAATTTTCCGAAACACCAAAATCCGATACGATCCGTCCGATTTCCACTCCTAATTATGATTATAAAATATATAAATAAATAAAAAAAACCTTTTCGGAAAAATATTGAAAAATTGCTTTAAATTAGGGTAAATTACAATCACACCCTAAGGTAAAGCTAAATTATGAAAAAAATCATAATATTTGGGTAATTAAAACAATCCATCGACTACGTATTGTATTTGTTCACCCTTACGGAGTCAAATTTACTTACTAATGAGGGGGGATTTTTGAAAATTGAAAATTGATGTCAATTAAAAATTGAAAGCTTTCCCGTTGCGACTACCACCTTAATTTAGTTTTAGTTTATGAATGTAACTTTGAGAATAATTGTGATTTTAATAATGGTGACCCTTCCCAATTTCTAGGTAATCTTGTTAATTAAAGCATGCCAAAAGATAGGAGTTGGGTTTTATTAGATGATCGTCGGTTAGAAGTATATCAAAATGGTTGTGTGGAATTTATGGATTTTGCCTTCGCTAAATGTGACGTTGATAATAAAATAAGATGCCCATGTAGAGACTGTAAGTGTCGTAAATGGGGGGATCGTGAATTCGTTCATAAACATTTACTTTGGAGAGGTTGGGATAAACTGTATGGGCAACGCCGATGGACTCTGCATGGAGAGTCCGAAGAAGAATACATTGGCGAGGAAATGAACAATACTAATCATACAGAAATTCCCGAAGTTGCAATTTTAAATGAACCTGTTGATGTACGTGATAACATGGAAGACTTACTGCATGCGTGTCTTCATCACGATCATCATCACGATCAAGAAGATCTGCACGAAGAACCCAACCCCGAAACTGATGATTTTCGTAAACTCACTGAAGAGTGGTGCATCCCCGTTTATGATAGATGCCGGGTATATACTAAACTTTCTTTTATCATGGAGTTCTACAAAATTAAGTCTCGTGGCAAGATGAGTGATAATACATTTACTGAAACCCTTCAGTTAATGAGAAAACTTGATTTTTTAAATATACCCGACTCTTTTTATGGAGTTAAGAAGCTCATCGGTAAATTGGGGTGTGGTTACGTCAAGATTGATGCGTGTGAGAATGACAGCATGCTGTTTTGGAAGGATGACTTCAACTTAAATGCATGCAAAGTGTGTAATGCTTCAAGATGGAAGAATCCAGTAGAAAACCAACCGAGTTCTTCAACCTCTCAGCGCAAAAGGGTACCAAAAAAAGTTTTGCGACACTTTCCATTGATTCCGAGGCTCAAGCGGCTATTTATATGTCAAAAATCAGCAATCAACATGAGATGGCACGCTGAGTCTCGATGTAACGATGGCGTTCTCAGGCACCCTGCTGATTCTGATGTTTGGAAAGAGTTTGACAAGAAACACGAGTCATTCTCTTTGGACCCTCGAAATGTAAGGCTTGGCTTGGCTACTGACGGTTTTAATCCCTTTGGATCATTGAGCAGCAAACATAGCACATGGCCTGTAATTATAATGGTTTACAACTTACCACCAAATATGTGCATGCAACGCTCTAATATGATGATGTCATTGCTTATTTCTGGTCCTATAGGCCCGAAAAATGGCATTGATGTTTATCTACAGCCGTTGATCGACGAGCTTAATGAGTTTTGGGGTTCTGGGATAACAACTTTTGATGCGTACACCAAGCAATATTTTAATATGCGAGCCGCACTTTTGTGGACTATCAATGACTTCCCTGGACTTGGTAACTTGTCGGGCTGGAGTACAAGTGGCTATCTTGCTTGCCCAAGTTGTGCCGAAAATACCGTGTCTGAACGTTTGTACAAGTCTAACAAACAGTGCTATATGGGTCATAGTCGTTTTTCTGAAGACGGGGCTCCACCTCCGCCTTCAGGAGATGAGGTGTTATAAAAAACGGAGGGTATAAATGTTACATTTGGCGTAGGCCAAACAATGCATCGAGCTTCCCAATGGAGAAAACGGAGTATATTCTTTGAATTGCCGTACTGGGAAGATAATCTCATTCGGCACAATCTTGATGTCATGCATATTGAGAAAAATGTCGGTGAATTATTGCTTAGGTGGTTATTAAATATTCTTGGCAAAAATGACGGGTTTGACAATGCTAAGGTGGACATTGGAAAAATTAAAAAGCCACCGTCAGGCAAGCCCGGTCCTCGATTTCCCAATCTCGTTCCAAAATTAGGAAAGTATCACAAGTTGTCTTCCCAATCCAAGAAGGCCGTGTGTGATGTTATAGCAAATGTTAAGGTTCCTAACGGCTATGCATCTAATATAGCCCGTTGTTTTGGTGAAGACAAAATAGGGGGATTAAAAAGCCATGACTACCACGTACTAATGCAACAGTTGCTTCCATTAGCAATCTGTAACGTGGACTTACCAAAAAAGTTGGCTAGTACCATAATCCAGTTGTGCTGTTTTTTCGAGAATTGTGTTCCAAAACTAACTCAATTGAAGATTTTCAAAAACTGCACTCCGACATTGTGAAAATTTTGTGTGATCTTGAGAAATTGTTTCCTCCGGCATTCTTTGTTGTTATGATGCATTTGCCGGTTCATCTAGCTCATGAAGCAATGGTTGCTGGACCGGTGAATTATAGATGGATGTATCCGATAGAGAGGTACTTAATTAGCCTAATCTTAGGGGAGGTAAGTGTAATTTATCCTTTACAACGACCAATCAATCTTATTAATAAAAGAAAAAGTAAAAAGAAAGTTGCTCTGGTGAAACCCTAGGGCAACTTTTACCGCTCGTTAGAAGATTATTGTTGTAATTATCTTATTTAATATATTTTATTTTTAAATCCAATTTTTAAAATTACTATAGTGGCCTCATTGATTTAATTTTTTTTAATTATCCTTCCTATTTTTTCTGCAATTGTTTGGCAAATCTATCGCTCCGTATCTTTTTTCCAAACAAATAAAAATAAATGAAAACAAAAATTGTTGTTGAAATTAGGAGTAATAAACGTGCTGGTTTTTATTTATTAAAAAAAAAAAATCTGTGCGCACATTATTAATAGAAGATATCTTATTAATAAAAGAAAATGTTGCTCCGGTGAAACTCTAGGGTAATTTTTCCCCGCTTATTTGAAAATTATTGTTGTAATTATCTTATTTAATATATGGGATTATTTTGAAGATCCCCTCATTTCGAAATTATATAGGACTAACTACCATGAGGATTACACACTAGTGCAAACCCCCTCCATTTCGATAATAATTTGACATACCCCCTTCGGCCACCCTGAAGTACTTAAATTGCTCATTTAAAATTATTTTTAAACTCTAGCCACTCACAGTCGTCTCTCTCTTTCTCTCTCAAATCTCAGATTCAAATCCCGCTCCATGGAACTCCAACCGACGAAATTGCTTCCCGGAGTCATAAATCTCTCTTCGGTGGTCGGAATTCGAGGTTTAACTACTGTTGGATTCCTCTCGTCAAGCTCTTTCTTTTGGTGGGGATTTCATTCTGTTTGGAGCACTTGATCTGTTTCTGCAATTGTTTTGCAATCCGTTTGTATGACGATGGTGGGTCGTGCCAGAGGTGTAATTAGTGTTCCGACAGTCGGAATTTGACGGGCTGTCGGATTCCTCTCATCGAGATCTATATTTTGATGGTAATTTCGTTCATTTTTTTTACTGTCTGATTTATTTCTATAATTTTTTCATTTGTGAGCGCGGAACCTTGGGTAGTTGCGACGGCTAGGGTTTTGGTAGGAGGCGTTTGGGGTGATGAGTCATTGGCGGGTTGGTCTAAAATTCGTAGCATTTCGCAGCTATGACACCTCTCTCTCTCTCTCTCTCTCTCTCTCTCTCTCTCTCTCTCTCTCTCGATCTCTTAGTGTTTGTTGATTTGAGTGTTTTCATGTTTCTTCAATTTTTATTGATTTGCACTAAAATAATTTTTTTGCTATGATTTTGCGACTACAGCTTAATGAAAGCCATTATCCTCTTCTTGAAGGTGTGAAAAAATTTGGCTGAAGTTACATCTGCTTCAAGTTACAGTGTTCAACAGACTGTATACATTACTGTACATTACTATGCATTACTATACATTACTAGTAACATGTAGTTACATATGCATATATTTGTGTATTTTCGATTTGTATATTATTAGTTTTGAGATGATTAATAATATAAATATTGAAATTTGTAAACTTTAGTTGTTGGAGTTTATAAATTTCTTTTGTATAAGACAGTATTCGTGTGCGTAAATAATTGATCGATTAAAAATATGGGGTAAAAAAAAAGGAACTACGAATGACTACATTTTCTACAGTTACATGTAGTTACATATGCATATATTTGTGTATTTTTTGATTTGTATTTTATTGGTTTTGAAGTGATTTATAATATAAATATTG